CATATAATAGGGGACCGGTTCCTGGCGTAACCCAAGTTAAGCATTAAGGATTCCCTTTCAACAGCCCAGGAAATACAACTTCCACTATGAGCAGCTTGAGTTGAAGGTCTATGTTTCCATCCGATCAGCCTGAACACGACGAGGTCCCAAGTCCTCGTCGGATGGTAGCGATCACCTCTGGCTTTGTCATTCCCCGAAGTTGCAATGTCCACTGAATCCATTGCCACTTTCGGAGGTTCCAAAAAGGAAACCCGGAAGGCAAGGCCAGTTTGGAATAGGCCGGTGTCTGAAATGGGTGGCCGGGTTCTGTTGCTTCAGTCTGTCGGGTTAAGCTGACTTGCGCAGAGCTGAATTGGACCTTAGGGAACCAAAAGGTGATCTGCTCAACCAGAAGGGAAAATGTAAGGAACGATCTATGTGGGTCAGGCAGGCGATGTGCCAGTCTGCGACAAATACGGCGAATGGACTAGCCTGCGGGTTGTGGGGCATGCCAACAACATTGATGTGGTGGGAGTATAGAAAGCTGGGGTCTGGGCCCCGGCATCGAACGAGTGCAGTGTGGGCCATGCAACTCATGCAACTTTTCTCTGCGAAAGCACGCCAGCCCGAAGTACATGTGAAGCATGCTGGGCACAAATCTTGCAAATCCAATTGAATTCCAGCACCTTGGCAACGTTGCAGTGCTTTTGCAAAAGGGAACCCAGCCACGACAAATCCGACAGGTATCTCCCAATTTTCTCACCCGTGCCAGGAAAACCCCAGCCGAATGCCCCAAATGGACGCAGAGTCATCCGCAAACCGGGTCATCGTTTTCTTTTCAGGGAAAAAACTTGCCAGCCGATGGCATGCAGGGAATCCTTTCTGCGCTGAAGCCATTTTCCTGGTGTGAAAAGAGATTTGGAGTGTACTGAACAACTGGCATATACACGCATATGCACATCTACGTATATTCACATACTTGGACTTCCATACAATCCATGTTGTATTTACATAGTCATTGCTGAATTCATTCATTAGCATTTACTTGCCAGCACCCCTCCGACTACCGTTTTCTTTTTAAGCGTGACTATCGTCCAGTTGGCAAGATGATAGATGTAGCATCTATGCAACACTATTTACTTAAATCATGGCTGAATTCGTTAGCATTTACTTCGGACTTGGATGTCTTCTTTGCCTGCAATCTATGTACCTCTACTTGTTATAATGCATGGCTGAGTCATCTTGGATGTCTTACCCTCGCACCTGACATGGTTTGGTGCACAAAGCCCCTGTCCAAGAGGAAAGTCGTCTTTCAGGGGTCTGTGCACCAAACCCATGTTCGTCAATGTCACACTATTTACCTACATCATGGCTGAAGTTACTTGGATGTCTGATTTTAGTTTTTCTGAAGGGGTCTGTGCGCCAAACCCATGTTAATCTATATATGTAACACTGCGGACCTACATCCTGGCCGAGAACACTGGGCCTGTGCGGCAAACCCATGTTAGTCAATCTATGTATCACTGACCTACATCATGGCTGGAAACACTGGGTCTGCGCGCCACACCCATGGAATCGTCGGTGGGGGTTTTCTTACGCCGAGGCCAAGTGGCCATGGGTCAAAATCCAAATCGTACCCCCAGTGAGCATCCCAATCCCCACTAAAATAGGTTCTAAAATGGGTGGTGAATTCACCTACCAACCAAAATGGGATCCCAAAACGGTTTTGACAACCACAGCCATATCTCCCATTTGGAATCCCGTGTCCCTTTCGCTTTTGTGAGGGAGAGTGCAGAAATCTCCCCTGTCCACTGTCACGATCTAACACACTCCAAGTTGCGTAGTTGGATGGGTCTCGCAGCTCCGCGACCTTCTCCGCCACCGCCTCCAGGATCTCCGAGGCGTGCGGCGCCGGGATCGTCAGCAGCGACTGAGTCGCACCGTATCCCGACAAGGCGGCCGACAAGGCGTTTTTGGAGGTGCCCTTTCTTGGGCGCTTAAGAACGGGAAAAGCGAAATCCATGGGCCCCCGAAAAGAAGACACATCCATATTTCCCCTCAGTTTACACCGAGGAGAGCTCGCCACCGTCTTCGGGCCAAGAAGGGTTATCAAAAAAGGCAATGCAGGCCCTGACCATACAAGCGCGAATTTTATTGAACAAGTTCAACACACTCGAGTTGATGCATTTTGAGGCATAGATGTGCATTTGTCCAAATAGGGTGACCGGGAGGTGTGGTTTTTCTATCCAGAAGGGTACCGGGTCTCAAAAACAGACGAGCCACACTGGCTTTCATTCAGCGGCTGGACGTTGAACGAAAGGACTTGCCAAAGGCAATCTAAGCAACGGTAGGCCCTTCGGATTGCGGTAGGAAGTTGTGGTTGATCTTCTTAAGCTAGGCTTCTCTGGACCACAAAGTCCACACAGCAAGAATCCGGCTGCCAACAGCAATGCCGCCACTTGCTTGTTTGTTTGCCTTCAGGTCATCTAAGGCGCATCTGTCTGTTTGACCCTCTTACTCTGGTCTCCCCATTTCAGGCTATCTCCTGCGTGTGACCCGGGAGGGGGGGGGCTCTGCTTTGCACATGAGGGTCTGGGTCTAAATCCCCATCCCTCGCCAACCTGGGATGTTCTTGGGATTCAAGCTTGGTTGACGTTGGAAGGGGGGCAAACAATTAAATTTTAGCAGGTAAGTGGGGATTTCAACCACTAAATCACAACAAGTAAAAATGGGAAAAATGTTTCCCAACAACAACCATGCAAGCAGGGGAAAATCTATCAGCCAAACCAATGAAGATTCCCTGACCACTTTGTTCATGAAAGTGCACCAGAGTCTGCCCATGGGGTATTGTGCTGGAGGTCCCTTTGATCAAGCTTCAGTGAGGAATGACCTCCATGCTTTGGGAAGCTGCTCCCATACCTGCCCTCCTACCAAGTGCCTTAAACAAAAAGCTCAAAGAGTCGTTCCGAGCACGTGGGCAGCCAGCCAACCGCCTAAAGGGCTTGCAGAGAAACCGAAACGGACACCTCACATGTGAAGGGCAACAAATGATAAATCGATCCGAGCACTTCCCCGAACGATCCGAGCGCCTGCACAGCTTCGTCCGTCAGAGACAGACCTGCGCTCTCAGCCTTCTGCATGCCTGGGAGACCAAGGAAGGCTAGCACCCCACGTGCAAGGAAAGGTCATCCCTGCCCTGCATGGGTAGATTCTCCGGCTGCAAAGAGATTTAAGACGCCCCACTTTGAAGAAGCTAACCGACAGTCTCTCAGAGTCTCAAGGCTTCGTTTGCGGCCCTTGAACGTGAATGTTCACTTAACAGTGGCAGGTGGCTACTTGAATGTGAATGTCAACGCGTATTCATACATTTTGTGTACGGCGCCAACCGCTGGTTTGCGGTTTCGCTGGAACGTTCCGTTTGCGTGGGGCAAACGGAAGCCGTCGCGCCAACATGCACTTCCACACTTGGCGATGGGGTGTTCATGTAAACAGCACCTAATTTTGTTCACTTGTCTAGGCCAGATGGGAGCGGGCCGGGGAAGGACCAGCGCGAAATTCGCGGCTGTGGGTTAGATACCCTCGCACCAAATCACATGGAACCTGACTTTGGACCGTTTGCCTCTTGATTTAAAAACAAAAAAAGTCAGGTTCCCGGTTAATTGGCGCGAGGGCATATGGGCTGGCCATCCGACCAAGAAAACGCCAGTGCCTAGGCCCCCGCCTGGCGTGTTGATCAACGCCTTGGCCGCGTGCTCGTAGTTCTCTGATTTGCCACCTCCTTTCCCGCCTGCGCGGCAGCTTGGCCGAGACAAGCATGCAGTCAGCATCTGCCATCTGCACAAGGCGGATACAAGAATTCCAGAGCCTACGGGACATAAGGCTATGAGGGTCCCCAAGGAACGGCTGAGCCAGGGAATACTGCATGTCACATAGGTCCTCCGCCGAGGCCTTGACAAGTTGAACATCCGCACGTGCCAAGTGCAAACGCTTCACAGCAGTCCACGCACAGCCCCTGCGAACTGCCCAGGGACCAAATGTCAGGCCCCTAGGACTCCAATAGCATATGAATCATATGAAGCTACATTGACGCTGAAATGCAATCTCTTGCTACATTCATCCCCTTTTGTGTTTAGCTCCCCTGGGCCCGTTCGCCTAGCGTCTAAAACTTGTGAGGGCAATGGCCCGACCCATGAAGGCGGTTGGCTGCAATTCGGGGCGCTCGAGTGTTGCATGGGACTGAAAATTCTCACAGACGTGACGACATTGGCCACTGGATACTCAGGTCGCCAAGGTGCTGCTGTGAGAGGAGATGTGTGGATGCCAGACGACCGCAAACGGCCAACGACCAAGAGGGAACATCTAAAAGCTTTGAGCCCCTGACCAAGGTGTCTATGTCAAGGGGACCAACGTTGGGCTCGTGTTTGCCGGCAACTCCTGGACCTAGGCGACGAAAAAGCGACGTGATAGTCTGCTTCGGAATGACCTCAAAACAAACACCTGGACAAAAGGATCTGCCAATCCTTGCAATGCCGCCCTTGTTGCGCAGCAACTGACAGCCAAGCTCACTTTTCTGCGGCTTTGCGGTTCCTGCGCTTGACCCAATCTTTAGAAACCTGCGCATGCGGTCACAAGCACTGTCCCCGTCTCTCACAGTATTCGAATGTGGGACATGCATCCTTGCCCAATTGCCATGAACGTCACAAAGGAAGCCCGTGTTAGGTTGTTCATTTTGCGGGGCAGGTGCTCGCGGAAATTGACCCGCCGTGCACAGTTGGGCGGTTTAAACATTGAGCTCTCGCCAGCCATGGCCTCGCCTCGGAACGGAAGATGGAAGGTTCTGTGCAAAATTCATTTCTTTAGCTTGCAACCAGAAGACGCAAGCCAGCATGCGAAACCACAGCTGCCAAACTCCAGGCCACCCGATGAAACTAATTGACTAGCGTGCGAATCTGGCGTCATCGCACCAGTTCGCCAGTCCATGCCAGTCCCCGCTTTCCGCATCTGACCCAACTTGGGATGTCTCAGATCTGGGTGCAGCATCCCAACATGACACCGTCCGGTGTCGGGCAGCAGCCGCCGGTCATGTTCAAGGCCTTATTTTTGTTGCCTGCTCTGCAAACACTTTGACGTTTCGGGGGGTTCAATGGAAAACCCGTGATTTCCCCAAAAAGTAATATGTGGGTATGAGTCAAAAGAAAACCACCAGCGGACCGCATGTTTTAGTCTTCGGCTCCATTTACCAGCGTTCCATTTTGGGTACGCATTTTTGACCCACAGCCATGTCCAAAGATCCAAGCCAATTCAATCAAGCGGCCGTACATGTGGGGAACTTCGAGCACTCTGTCCCTGCGGCAATGGTCACGGCCTCGACGACCTGCGCGGCAAAGCTTATAGCGGCCGGCGCTAGCGGACTCCAGCGGGCCATGAGTGACAAGGGGCCTGGCGATCTTCAAAGCTGCATTGTACACTTATTTTCTGAGTGGATTGGCCAAAAACAAGTTCGACACTTGCAATTTACCAACTAAACAAATATACCCCTCCCTGTTTATTTGCCACAAATGGTCTTCCCAAAAAATAGTCCAGGAGTCCAGAGAGTGAGAAGGGGCATTTCAGTGTCTGGGTCGCACCTTCGGAAATCCGTCGCAGCATCCCAGGCGGATGGTGTCCACATTGGGGCAGCACTCACCCGTGATGCCCACTGCCACGCAGGCCGGGTAAGCCTCGCAAGCCTCAGCCGCATTTGCTCAGGGACCAGTTCTCCCTGTGGATCGAAATATGGACCAAATCAGGGATACCGAAAGGTGAAAAGTCGATTTGCTTTGGGCAAGTCACATGTTCTAACTGGTACCTCCCTTTTCTCGTCAAAAGCAGGAAGCAATGGAAGGATGGATGCCTGGCATCATGGATGATCATTCTGGGGAGTCACGCAAGAAAATCATGGTCAAAGAACTACTGCACACATAAAGAGCATGCAAAGGCATTCTTTCCGCCGGTGGAGGGCAGGCACCATCGAAAATTGCAAGAAGGATCAACACCAGAAAGCACAGGGAGGCAACTGCGAGAATCGTAGTCGATAACCTGATCCATACAAAGAAGAGCAAAGCCCAGTACAAGCATGTCTCACCCCATTCAAAGATGAAGTGAGCAACACTCTAGGACATCTAGGCAACTGGGAATTCGCCGCCATCTTGCCGTCTTGAAACTGCCTCCTTCCCTGCCCTGGAACAACGGTTTCTCCATTTGAATCGGGAAGACACTAAAATTACTAAGAAAGAAAATCCTCAAACAATTGCAAGGCTCCCGAAGTAAATGCGCCATGAGTTCCATTTCCAGGCGCCGTGCCGTTGACGCCCGTGAGGTCCTCTATCGCCTGCGAGGCGGCATCGGCCGCGCCGGACACAGCATCCGCCGCCTGTTGGATGCCCGACTGCACAGCATTGGCCGCCTGCGACTCACGCGGCTGGCCAGGCATGCGGAAAAACAAGCTGGGTTTGGTGGTGAGCGCAACCCCCCACAAATAGAATGGATTCGGCATGCTGAGACAAGAGCTGGGTTTGGGGATGGCTTCTCTGGGGCTTCCTTTTTCACCATCCCGCGAATACCTGCACAACGTAAGATTCTCAGACAATTAAGTCGCTAGGAGACCGCCCCCGAGCTCTTCACAGGAACCATCCAGTCAAGGAAAAAAGGTTAAGCAGCTAAGCGGTAAACAAAAACTTGGCCCACAATTCACCCCTCAAAGAACTAGAGCCGCAGCCACCTCAAGCAATGAATGGGCCAAGCTGGAGGAAGCCGACAATGCGATTTTATGTTCATGTTTTGTGCTCACTTTTCGAGGGGAACACCCCCATAACAAGAAAGCAAGTGGTTGTTACTCCCGGGTCAACCTTGCATATTGGAATGCATTGAGCAGTCACGCCAGGCGCTTCTGATCAAATCGGTTGAGCCCAGGAAGCTGACAGGCACCCCAGTGGTCGCCTCTGTGCCAGCGCCCCACACGCTCTGCGCCTCGCCAGCGGGCCCAGCGGGCGCCTCAGAGCACTGGCGAAGACTTCCACTCGAGTGGAACGAGTTCAAAAGGGGCTGTGGGGGCTCTAAAGCCAAGTGCAGTCATCACAAGAGAACGATTGAAAACATAGGTGGCCTTTTGGAAACAAATCGATGGCCCTTGTAAATGGAATCAACCCGATCTAAACCAGGGCCCTCTATTTTTAAGCAAACCAACCACAAAGGACACCCATGATTGAAAGTCATGTAGTACCCCAGTTTAGCTCACGTCCGCACACATCCACGCCCAGCTGCCTGGAGAGCAGAAGGCAGGAAAACAAAGTGTTGCTACACCCATCGAACTTGTTGACAGGGACAGCATTTCTACACCGTCATCTAAAAATTAAAGGGTCTACGGGATAATGTCAGAATTTTGCCCCGCCGTTGATATTCCAACGATTGAGCTCACCCAAGCTTGGCAGCTTGCTGTCACAACTTACCATTTCCATTCCCATGATTTCCCCTCCGCACATCCGCACAACATCTTCCATACATAGACCTCCTTGGAAGGTGTTCCTTCTTTCCGCCTTCTTTACGCATACATTTTTTCGGGCAAGCGGCACATTTTTGTGCCTCGCAGCACTTTTTGAACTTCTTCGATATTTGAGCCAACCCTGTGTGAAAGGACAACTTTTCGACCAACAGGCGGCTTTCCTCACCAGGTTTGCTGCAGCACAATGAAAGGGCACTTTGGCACGAAGCAGCGTTTTTTCGACGATACAGTACAAGTTTCCGCCTTTTCGCGAAAGAGCGGAAAAGAACAAACCGTGCAGCTGGAAGGTCCAGGTATGGGTCCATAACTGGCAATGTCACCTGTTTAACCATTACGCGCGTGCTTGTATTCACAGCATGGGCTCGATGCCAGGGCAGCTCTGGCCCTGAATGGTTCAGGTTGTTTAAGGCTGGTCCAGGCTAGGATTCGGGTGGGTTGAAGTGGGTTGAGGAATTGGATTAGGGCTGGGTCTGGGGTGAGTTTAGCGTTGGTTCAGGCTGGGACTATGACAAAGGTGGGGTTGAGGGTGTGAGGTGGGTTTGGGTTGCTTACGGTGGTTTTGGAGGCAGGGTCGGTTTGGCGTGGGTGGCGGCTAGTTGTGGGAGTGTTCAGAGTGGCTTTAGGGTGGAGATGGTGGGTTGAGGATGGGTTGGGGTGAAGTTAGGCTTGCTTAAGATTGGTTTAATTGGATTGAGGGTTGGTTCGGGCTAGTGTTAAATTGGATTGGGATGGGATTGAACTTGAGATGGGCTTTCGTTTAGGATTGGTTGACGGTGGGGTCGGGATTGGTTCAGGTCGGGATTTAGGTGGACTGAGGGCGGGCTGATCCGTGTTTTAGCTGCGTTTGACTTTTCAGGGTTGTTTAAGGTTCAGGAACTAGGTCAGGGAGTGTCCTGGTTGGCTTGCTTGGGATTTCGCCGGGTTGAAACAGGTCCTGTGGGTTGCAACAGGAAAATCTTGCAGGCCTTCCCTTGGAGCCTTCCCCATCACTCAAGTCTTATGAGTCGCATCCGGGGCGTCGTCGGCCTTGTCGCAGAACTTGGGGCCAGTGATGACGTCGGAGTATTTGAAAGGCGCCGCCTCCAAGCTGGAGTCCTCTCGCGAACATGCCACCGGCTGGCCGCACGAGCAAAAAGCGCATGGCGGCATTCTCAGCTTCAAAAATAGAAATCCCCTCCAAGAGTTGCAATTTGCTGATGGGTTCCGCCGAATCTGCCACCTTTAAAGGCTCCAAAAAGGGGAATGGAGGACCCTGCAAAATGCAAAAACTGATATAGCCAACCATTGGGGGTTGATTCCAGAGGAATGAAACGGTCGCAACCCCACCACATGCAAGCCTTTCTTTGGTACATTGATCGGAATTTCCTCACTCCGACGTGGCGGATTCGACATACGCTCACAGTGACACATCCAATCAACTCCAGGACCTCCCAGCCTCCAAAGCTTCCACAACCACCAACCTAACCAAGTTCCGCACCCTCCAATTCTTGCTTTGCATCCCATCCCTCACCAATTCCCCCAATCCGACTAATCCCTTGAATCCATCCCTCCAGTTTTTCACCAGTTCTTTGTAAATCCCAAAATCCCTCCAGTTACGGGTATGGGTCAAAATTAAACCAACAGGGGACCGCAGGTTTGAGTCCATGATTCCATTTGCCCGGGCAACCCATTTTAGGGGTTAGCCCATTTTTGACAACAGCCAGATCTCCATCCTCGGAGGTGAGCATGCACCCCCCATCCGGCCAGAAGGAGAAGTGCCTGCAGCCTGGCACAGACTGGCATCGGCCCTGACAGCTCACAGCGCCCAGCTCCACGGACCGCTCCGTGCCACCCATCTTGTAGGGGTCCGCCCAGTACATGCCCTTCTGGAAGCACGCCGGCTCCTCCTACGCATTGAAACCCGGAAAAAAGACTTGGGAAAAACAAACAGGCGAGTCAGAACAAGAGAAAAAGGGAAGTCGGATCAGTCTCGATTTGCGTGAGTTTCGTGAGAGAGAACAAAAACTGTTCCAGTAGTGATAGGTTCTCTTTAAAAGTGGAAAATACAAATTGCTCCTGGAGGCTTTCCTTTTAAGGCCGCATGGTCTGGCTGACAACTCATGTTGCCCTGCCCAAACGGAGGCTACGTTTTGCGTTTGCAAACCAATCGCAACACACACAGTCGAGGCCACAACCAAATCGTGAAGGGGCATCTGGCCACTGAAATCCCCCACTAGGAAGCAGCTGGTAAAATCAACAAACTCAATAAACACGTACCTCATGCTGTTGGGCTTCTTCTCACATGCCACCCACACCTACAAGCATTTGCCTCGAATTGGTCAAAACATCACCGGCTGGCTCAAGCCTGGAAGGTTCATAAAAGTTGAGGTTCAATAAAACACTGATGTTCAGTAATATCTCGGCTTGGCCAGGACAGGTGCTGGTGGGCCTGCCATTTCAGCAACTTAGCTAATCCAAATGATCCTTCTTACTTTTAAGGCATGGTAATTACCCTGAAGCCACCAACTTGTTAAAAGGAACTTGCAGTAACGGCCCCCGAGTACTGTTAAACAAATGCGGGTCAACCTTGTCAGGTTCCAGCGAATGAGCCTTAGGTGTTTGAAGTCAGAAATGCACAACCGAACGCTCAGCCGGCTCCCTGGCAAGACGCAACCAATCAAGGATGATCCAGGTAGCTAACGTGTTGTTCATAGCGGGGAACGAGGATGCGTCCTGGATAAGACTGCACTGTGTAGTGAGGGCTTGTTGGACGGCTCTGCTCTGTACAGTGCCCGCCGGGTGAGTCATAAGCCAGGTATGTAAAGGGCCACGAAACCATGAAAAGAACCCTGAAAAGAGTATGGCCTCACCATGTACCCCCAGTTACCCGGCTCTAATCGCAGTAAGGGAGCCAACCCCTGGCGCCTCAGTTTTCTCCCATGATGCGACCACCTGCAATGAGCAAGGAGCACCCAAGAGCTAAATGCAACAAACTGGGAGGGGATGAAAAGTCCCAGGCAATCAAACAATAGCAGGAACCACTTTTGGAAGGGAATACTCTTTGATTTATCCGCTGATTGCCTTGTGGCACTTTCTGCGAATCCAAGTTGAACCGCCAATCCGGGAGCATTCAGTTCGCAGTGGAGCCTCTCCACCCCGCCTCAAGGCCCAGGAAGCTCCGCGGTGCCGCGCGGGCGCCTCGCGACGGGGTGAAGCGCAGCGCCAGCGCGGAGCCCGCGAGGGCGAAGGAGCCCACAACCATCTGCGCAAACCCACGGGCTGGGTCCACACAAAAGTGGCTCTTGGTTATGTTAACGTAATGGCCGGAGGGTCTTTTTTGGCTTAGCACCGGCTCCGAAAGCTGGGTCCGTTATGTTAACCCCGGATCTAAGTTAAACCCCTGGTTGAGTTTGATAGATAGGTGTCCAATTCCTTTTGGTGGGGATTCAGACCACTTTTGGAGGGAACACCCCGTAATGGAACGTGTGGTATGGACATATAATATGACGCTTTTTAAGGGCACGCGACGTCTGACGCGACATAGGCATGAACAGGGGCCCTTGGTTACATAGCTGTGCAATGGGATAACGGGACGCAGCGACTTAACAGCTTTCGCAGCTGCAGCTCGAATGTCGCAACTGTTCAGCACGCTCGCGCTACAATGTAGCACAAAACAACAAAGCGCATCTCTGCAGCCCCAGCTCGAAAAATCAGGCGCAAGCCAGGTCCTAGCACCCCGGCAACAAAACGGAGCTGGATTGGGGTTGGCTGTGCAACGAGGTATGCAACGACTGTGTAGTCAGGAAAAACACGGAAAGATCTGCTCCGGAGGCATTCATAGGAAATCACTCCCAGTCTGGGCATGCATTTTGGGGAATGCAATCAACCAGCCAGGTGGTTTTGCTAACGCAAGGTGTGTAACGAAGGTATGTAACGAGCTAGTTCGTTAGGACATGAGAGGGGTATGTAGCGAATATACGCTGCTGCAACACACCCCTTTAACAAATCACTGCCATACGTTTATACGTAATTTTATGTATGAATCTAGAGACAACAAATCTTCCAGGTTACCAGAGTGGCGATCGCGATTGTATGGGGTTCTACCAAGATGGTTGTTGGGGTCATAGGTCCTAAGATGGACGACTTTCGGTTGCCAAATTGGGAGGATCCCTGATCCGCAATCCTATAGTAGAGCACCACTACAAGCGAAGCCACTACCATCGGGCATGGGGATTGAGGACTGATCTTCAATGACCCCGATGATGAATCTACCAAGATGGTTGTTAGGATACTTGCAGGCCCAGCTGTTCAAAGTCACAGCGAATGAGTGGGAGGACGCCATCCAGTGGATGCGTGGGCTCCAATTGGGGAGCCCCGTGGCCGTGGGGGGCATACCTTTGGCTTCCAAAGGCTGCGTTTCCCTTTGGGTGCGTGCCCGCAAATTAAACTGGACATGAGGGCGGACTGGGGTTTTGCTTACCTACGGCACGGCTCAATTCAATATCATGTTGAAGGACTGTGAAGTGCACCAATGAGCTTCGCAATGTACGTGCCCAATGGTCCCCAAATGAGAACAAAGCCATGGGCCATGCTGCATGCGCAATGTGCTTGCAACGAGTATTCCCATGCGAGCCGAAGCCCGATTCCCCATTGCCCACCCCGATGCGAGAGTGGTCGATCCAAGTCGCTGCGACACGCGTGGGGAACGCAAAGCTCCTCCCACGGGACTCGTTCAGAAGCTCCTATGCCAGCGAAAAGGAAGTCTTAAACCTAGACTCGCTCAGAAACTGGAACATTGAGTCATGAGTCATGACAGTTCAAGAGATGCTTGCTTTTGTCATCTTTTGTCACACACCAATGGGGGTACCAACTGGCCGCAGAAACTGCACACAGAACAACTAAGTTTTAGTAAAGCTGGCACAATCTGAGATATCTGGAGGATATCAAAGATTTTGGCAACTGTGCCCAGGAAATGTTGCAACAACAGCCCGGGTTAAATGCATTTGACTTGTGGGGCCTCGCATGACACACAGAGACTCGCACAAACACGGGCACAGTCACGCGCATACACACACATGCAGAGACTCACGCAAAGAAGCACACAAACACACACCCACAGAGAAATAGACACGCAGGCACACACACACGAAGACAGAAACACACACACACACACACAGAGACATACACATAAATACAGACACACAAGCACGGGCCGTCGTAAGCCCGCTGTTCACAGTAGAGGACCTACTTTAATTCATTCCCCTTTGTAAACTGCATTGCCCTGAAGAAAGAGCACATCCACATCTGTTTGAGCTGCTTCGAGCGTTGTCGGGCGTAATTCCGTCAGAGGCACCTCCAGGCAATTAGTAGCTATACCCGGCAGCGAGTGCTCTGCTTGACGGCCGACGAGTGGAGAAACACAACTTGAATCCGCGCACGCTCTGCGCTTGAGATGGTTATGCACATAGTCCAGCTTCTTTGAGAAAAAGGTTGCTTCAAACTGAAGTGGATTCAGAGTGGCTTCAATTTATCAAGGCTTTCAGGCCATGGAAAACGTCCTTCCACGTTCTCTTTCCTGTGGAAAAAGGTGGTCCAAGCAAGGCGCAGTCGCACTCCTCCTCCTCCGAGGGAATCATGTGCGCTGCCATGGCGTAGGCGTCCGGCTGGGGAGGACTTGAGCCAAGCTCGAACTGCGGAGCTGGGTTGATGCCAAAGGACACAAACGAAAGGGCTCGCATGGATCAAGCTGGTGCTTTGCACCATCACATCATGAACTCCTTTTGCACCTTGGCTGCCTAAAATCCCAGGTCCAAATACCTTAACTCAATCTCAAGGATAAAAACCAACGCCTGAGATACTGGTGGCTGGAGCGGTCCATGATTCACACTCATCTAAGCACTTCACAGGATTCTGCCCTCGTGGAATGCAGTCAAGCAGCCTAGTTTCATTGATGAGGCGCCATGAAACCACGCATCTTCCCGGCTTCCCTCCATGCCTTTTCCGATCACCGCGCCCTTGCCAGGCCCTGAGCGCGGCACGTACCTGAAGTCGGCCCTGGTGTCAAATGCAAACATGATCCAACATGCCAGAATGGTCAAAACTGACCTTTCGGTTGTCCAGTTTCGCCCAGGTCGAGCTTTTATCAGAAAGCCTGGGTCCCGGTTGGGTTTGAACATGCAGCTTTAATTGAGGCAGGCACTTTTGGGGAGAAGCGCACTTTAGAATTTGCGACATCCTGTGACTAAGATGATTACTCAGTTGTTCAGTGACCCTGGTAAAAAAAGGGAACCCTTCTTTGGGAAGACCATTTTTAGTGGGGCGGCCAAAAGGGAAAAAGGGCGCCACTGAACAACTGAGATTATCTTCCGGAAGGATCGGGACACTGCCGGAATCTGCATCTTACTCGTCTTGTTGCCTCAAGCTAGCAGTTTTTCCGGCATCTATGAGGACAAAAGTATACGTGGGCATCGCAAGAAGTGGTAAACCGTATTTCCGGATATGAAACCGCGAATCCAGCCTCAGGCTGGCTAAGTGCTTGGAAATATAGGGTCATCCCCTGAAAAGGATACTCAAGGGTAGCTGTCCGCTGGAATAATTGCTGGAAATAAACAGAATAGGGTCTCGCAACTCGTGACACTTCTGTCGCAGCCCTGTTGTTGCGAGCTTTCTGGTCAATTGCGGCACATGGAACGCCCGGCCCATCTGCTTGCAATCTGGCCACCCCCGAGATACGGTGGCCACGATGTAGTTTGAAGGGTCCTTGTGCTGGCCATCCAAGAGTGTCACGGCAAAGGTGACCGAATGTTGTGAGGGTGTTCGGTGTTGGTGTGGGATCAAACTCTCGGCATGGTGTGAACTCCCCGAAAGGGAATCCTCGCAAAATTATCTTGTCATACGCTTCAACCGCTTGAGCTGATGACCACCTCTGAACTCTGGAGACAGCATTCCTTGGGAGTCCGCCCAACCACCTTGCGACAATGCTTGGCTTTGGACCAACGCTCTGATGCATCCTTGTGCTTGAATGCCGCCTGCAAACCACCTGTTGGGCCCTCTTTGCTGGAAAATTGCGCTTGCCATCCCTGCCCATGGCACTGACTGCAACCGTTGAAGTCTTCCAGTGCATCTGTCTGAACAAGTACTCTCACACCTGACACAGCGAATCTGACAAATGCTATGGCCAAGGGAGAATCTTTGTACCTACACGCGCTCCCCATGGCTATGTTTGGCACACCCCTAGCCCACTATGCACTTAGAAGCCCACGACAGGATACAAACAAATTACGTGGGGTAGGTGTTGAGAAGCAGCGGAAATCACGGTAGATCCCATCCTACATTGCGCTTCGAACATGCGCAGCAATTGTCCGCACCCTCCCTGCGCAACCCTGAGTATCGGACAACCCTGCGACCTGAAAGCTCAAATCCTTTGAGCAGGACAACGCAACATCTAAACCTCAGAACCCTATACAGTAAAACGACACCAAGCCAACAAGTGAGACTTCGTTTGCAAACGATTCGCGTTGACATCAATCAAGTCTGCGCAGGTTTCCATGCGTGCCATGGTGAAAACTCTGTGGCCATGGGGAGCTTGTGGCTCCAAAATCTTGAAGCCCATGACCATCCCACCAAGGGAAGGTGTTTTGACCATGGCACATATGGAAAATGAACACCCTGAAGCAACACCCTGGAGTTCCTGTAGTTTAACGAATGGGCCGGATGGCTGAATAGAGAATGGGGTGCTAGAACAGCAAAGTGAACCGAAGCAAACGTCCCTTTCAGACAGATGCTGGTTACTTTATCCCTGAGATGCCAAGCTGACAAATGCACCGTGACTTCACTCCATTTTGTGGCAACCTATTGCTTGCCAAAGGACCAGCTTGACACCGACAATCCAGCTGCCTATTCCGAGGGCCTTGGCTAGTGTCAAAAAGGACCATTCTTGCGGGCCCTTGTTGTGCCACCTTCATCTTGACATCCAGTGATTAGCAGGTCCCCCCGTTTCTGTCTTCCTTCTGTTTCCTTTGTCTTTTTTCCTTTCCTGCTATCCTTCTTCCCCTCGTTCCTTGTTTCTTCGTTTAGACTGTCTTTCTTTCTTTCTTTCTTTTCTTGCTTTCTTTCTTTCTTTCTTTCTTTCTTTCTTTCTTTCTTTCTATTTCTTTGTGGGGGGTTCCAGCACGAAAGGCGGCCACTGCTCCTTGAGGTGCCCAGTTTGGAACTTCTGCTGCGTAGCTTCCAAGAGTTCCTCACACGGACTGTGCCGATCGTGACTGCGGGCTAACAAAATCGACACCTGAGAAGACACGTTGGGTCTGTCGTTTTTTGAAGGTACCCCTGCTTTGTGGCTTTCGGGGAAAACGACCAGTAAAACCATCATTTTGGGGTCGTCCCCAAGAAGCAGACAATAAACACCCATTTGGTCAGGAAATGGTGTGGGCACTGAAGGGAACAAAGAGAGGTCAAACTTTGGGAGGCCCATTGCCACTGGATGGCCTCATTGTCACTGTCGACACTCTGGTGCGCGCTGTGTTCATCGGGATTTATGTCCACCAACCATTTGGGCGTGCTCCGCACAAACGGTCGCAGCCATCTTAAACACGCAGGACACCAACAACTCTAGACTCATTAAAATAGATGAGCCAGGCGTGGCACGGTCACCGGTCTGTGTAGACGTGTGATGCTTGTTTCGGACACCTGAGAGACTGAGGCTGGGCAAAATGGCCAGGGTCTTGAAAAGTCGTAACAAGCATTGGATCAACTTGCCTGAGAGCAAGCTCCCAGGGGCGACAATTGGTGGCTTTCCCCAAAATCCCTGTGGAACATGAAGTCTTCGATCTTGGGGGGCGTCCTGAGACATATTCCCCCTGTTACCGGAAGGGTGGCTAACAAACCAACCTGATTCCGCTTCACAATGGCGTCCAAGGGAGTGGCCTTGCACGGTATAGGACTTTGGGTGGCAGTTGCCTTTGGCTGTCCCAGAACGTGAACCACCCGAAATACTGCCGGCATGTTTCTGTTTTCCCAAAGGGTCCAAACGAAAATCAGCCCACACAAGGAACACAGCGCATTCGTCTGATACAAGCTGAGTGCCAGACCGAAGCGTGACTATAGGGTAAGCTTTCCAAGGATGACATGGCCTGGCATCGGATTGGCGATGCACAGGAAAGGCTTGCGAAGCGATGCTTGCGATGCCAGGAATCTGGCAATGACTTTGGGTTCTCATGGCTTTGCAACTCGGCAAATGGATCCGTGGCCAGTCGGGCCCTTTCCAACGCCGGCACTTGAGCAAAGCCCGCCACCCCTGGATGGTTCACAAGTCCCCAGACTCTTTGAGCCATCCACAGGTGGGATCGTTTCAGGAGACCAGGTGGCAAATGGACCTAACGGCAATACAAAAAGCTTCACCCTTAAAGAACATCAACGGCAAGTCTTCACACCAGGCACCCGCCGAACAACCTGACGCATGGCCATTTTCCGCTTGCCCTCTCCCAGCGGACGTCCAACAGCAGGCGCTCGCCTCATTGTTCAGATCCAGGCCGAAGCGATACACGTCGTCAGCAATGGGCATGGCGGCAAAATTGAAAGCCAGCTGGCTTTCGGAGCGGAGGCAACGAACACCAAACTGGGCACATGGGACTTGACCTCACCCTCACTTGTGGGTTGGCCCAAGCACCTACGCTACATGGAAGCCCGTCGCAGAAGTCCGGTGTGGTTTCGGGGCTGCGGTGCTGTACGACTTTGTGCAAATCAAGTCCATGCGCACGCCCACGTGGGCCTTCCTGGATCCCATAGCTGCAAAAAGGAATGTGTTGGATGACACTGCCAGCGTACCACACGCCATTGCATGCAAGAGTTCGACTACCAAATCAAACTGCTCACCCGGAATACCAACACAAATGGAGGAGGAGAAGCTTAGAAAGGGTCTGGTCTAAGTCACACAATGAAATTCAGACTTGATGCTTGCTGCATGTTGTGAGGCTCATGTGGTCCCGACAAACTGTATTCTTCAATTCGCTGTAGGCCCACATCCGATTGAATGCAACAGCAAGGCTTTTGAATGCTTGATGAACAATCCCATGGACAGATGTTTTCTTTGAACACTGCTCGGAATCGGGTGGTGCCATTGCGACATGCCCTCTTCCAGGCGGCATGTCACAAACAACTACCAACAAACAAAACCATGAGAGTGCACCTCGCGTCATAAGCGCGTGACAATGTTATTAGTATCACCCAGTGACCACCCACACCCGATACCTTGGTAGTAGTGTCCGTTGCTCATGGCCAACATGTCGATCACAGGCTGTGCAGAAGCCACTGGGGATTTCGGGTGGTCTACGAACTATTCGGCCTCAAGACATTGGACGCCAAACCGGGCAGCTACAGGCAGTCTGCATCCTTATATCAGCTGAAGCAACTCCAATGGAACGTTGTTTAAGGCCTGCAACCAGGACCATACGTCAGCAACAATTCAACAAGAACCATTCATGACGCACCGTCACCTCTGCAACCTCATGTCTGGGTGCTCGGCCGAGTGTCGGACCTGAGAATCACTCAGCGTCGGTCAGAACGCTTTGGCTAGCCCCAGGCGCAGTGGAAAAGGGTGGGGTCAACGCCCTGTGCAAACATGAGGGAATGGAAGTGCGTTGTATTTAGT